ACTGGAACCACTGGGGTGGTGTTTGTGAGAAAGTGGCTAACACCAAGTTGATTATATCAAGGCAGCTTGCACACTAGACACCTCTCTGAATTTGTAAGCATTAATCGGTGCGGCCCTGTCACTGATCCGTCAGCTCTACATGGATAATTAGGGACCGCGGCTAACGATGCCGTCTGGAGAAGGAGAAGCTCAACTTCTACCCACGCACCTTCAAGTCATAATTAAGAGACTCCTTTAAGCATTGAGGTAATGGTAGAGGCAGTAAAGGGTGATGTGTTTAGGAGATGTCACCGGCTCTGTGTGTGCATCCTGTTCAATCAGTTTGGCTTCATTCGGACATGCTGCGAGGTGCTTTAATTAGCCGAGCTAAGCTATACAGACAGATCATTAAAATGCAGCTGGGTAGTTCGTCTACTGGAGTATCATACATGTTAAAGAAAGGAACCGCATCCACAGTCTCTCATTGTCACCGGATTTATGTTAAGAGTGCTAAACTTTTTAATTAGCAGCGTTCATGTGTAAGCGGCTAGCTAGCTGGAAACATTTCTATCAAGAAAGCAGACGAAGGCAAACTAATTACCATCCTCAGCAATGGAGGAATTCATTTCCAAGTGGTAGATAGCATCGCAGCACGTTCCTTTCTGGTCCTTTATGACTGAACCAACTCTGTCAGCGGGGAATGTTTCCAAACTCTTCCATCTAAAGGCTTTTGAAGGACACGTAGACACCTGGCCGCGTCATGAACGCTCTCATACTGCCTTTGAGCAGCGCGTGTTAACTTAAGACTGCCGTGGCCCACTTTGAAATACAAAATTACTCCGGGGCCCATTATACTAATCTTTTTTTTCTTTACATCTATAACTTTCAGTAAGGGTGAAATCATTGGACATGACAAAATGACATTATGGCAAAAAAAGACACAAAAGTTTACTAAACATTATGTCTATGAATAGTCATGGCTCGCCTTACTCATCACTTAAAGGGTTGACTCATGGTAAATCATCATTATTGTGATATTTATTTTATTTTTAAAATTGGTGGAGGGCTTTTTGCGGCCCACCTGCAGTACTCACACGGCCCACCAGGTGGCCGCGGTGCACACTTCGGGAAGCACTGCTCTAGAGGGAGCACCACATAACTCAAACTGCGTAAACACAAAGTATTACTTCAGGATTTGGATAGTTGTAATGTAAACAAACATGGTGACACTCAAGGAGGGGTTTTTAAGGTTAATTGGCTGATCACTTGGACTTCTATCAACTTTTCTAAAAAAAAAAGGTTCCACCATTGTTGTAGCAGCTCTTCGGTGTCTCCGATGTCGTCACATCTGGTTTCAGCACCATACATTACACCATACACCTACACTGCACCTAGCGGCTGTATGCCTATTACATCACACGTACACATAGAGTTCATTTCTCACGACATGCACAACCAACCACAGGATACGCGAGGCCGATATCATGCGTCCGCGTCGTTAAAAGCAAGTACAACCAGGGCTTTACGGTGACAGTCAAGTGATTCAAACTCCTAATTTAACCTTCAAGCAGTACATTAATATAATCATGTTATTCTCATACACTGGTCTCCTGGTTCATCCCTTCTCTGGATGTGTCGCCCACACTGTGCTTCACCTCTTCCTACATCTATGAAACTCAATATTTACGCAGGGAAAGGTAATAAAGAATGATATTTTTTCTGCATGGAGACCTTTTTAACTTCTGCTGAATAAATCTAACACAGTGTCGCACTGTAATCACACTGACATGTTGAATGATTAGTTGACAGATTCATTACGTAGAGTGACAGTGTTTGATTTAAGATATCGTGGCTGCTGAAGTAAAAGCAGGAGTAGACGTACACACTGCCATTAATTTTTCCAAGAGCAATCAAAACTGTATCCTCAGTATCCGGGCGAATGCAGCAACTATATGGCTTCTATTGTTTACCTTAATATCTAACATCTGCTAATTAAACTATTATCATCTACCTGTTAAGTCTAGAGCATGATGCTTTATTTAAACAGGATCATGTTAGTGATGCTAACAGTTTCATATGATGCACAATGAGGAAAAAAAAGGTTCTGATTTTTTGCAGTAACAATCAAAATTCTTCGATAACTTTTCTAGATGTGGGGGAAATTCTGAGCTTTTAAAATCAGTCATTAAAGCGTCTAAAACTAACAACTGTTTGTGATAAATCAATGAGGCTTAGAAATATTACAAAATGCTTTTCTGAAGTTCCCTCGTCCCAGTGTGATGTCTTCAAATGGTTTGTTTTGTCGGATTATTGGCTAATAAAACAGATAAAAGTAATAAATCTTCACATCTGAAAAAAAAAAGCTTGAAACAAAGAATGTATTTCCTTTTTTAAATCACAAAACATGATGTTTAGAAAAAAAAAATTGTTGGCGATCTGTTGACAACTTGTTTCTGCTCTGCTTTGCACCAAAGCAAAACTAGAAATGGAACATCTGTTTTACACTTTACTGTGGTCTTTTTTAAATACAATCTATGACAGATCGACAAACGACACAGATTGGTCAAAGCTGCTGTCTAATACTTTTTGTTACTTTCCACTTCCCCTCATCATATTGACTTTCTTTCTGTCTGTATTGTTAACCTTACATTAATGACACGAGCTGCTATAAGGAATGCACCCACACAACTCCTTTCAGTGAGAGGACAACTTATAGACTGAAAATGACGACAAATGACTGCAGCAAAAGTCTCTGCTGCTTCAAATTGCACCGCACTAAAGTCAACTGCCAAAACTAACAGATGCAGTAATGCTGCTCCAAATGGACTAACACTGATGTATTGTCACTGGTCGTAAAGTAGATAGGGCGCAGCGCCATTACAGGGTCTAAAATCATCACTGTGACTGATGAAACAGAGTCCATTTGAAATGGCATACAAAGAGCCATTGAGATCCCTGACTCTCTCTGTATGTTGTGTTTTATTTTAGTGCGACTACAAAGTGACACATTTCAATACTGTAGCTCTCTGGTGAAGCCCTGTGAAACACAGCTTGTGTTTATAGGTGTTTCAAAGGGGAGAGGATTCAGTGGAGGTGTTAAAAAGTTTTTTTTTTGCATTGACCATATGTCACGTACTGGAAATAATGCAGAGACAAAGCCTGCCAAGCTGGGATTGAGCATTACAGCGTGTGATGTATGTGTCTGTCACAAAAACAGACAATTAAATCAATATTCAAAAGCGGAGCCAGAATGAGGGCACTTTAGAGCTCGGCTGAACTACCGAAACGGGGCTTGAAAACAGGAGGGGAAAAAAAGCAACAGAGTTTTTTACGCCCACTTTGGGGTGGTGGGGTGGTAACCAATATTTTGTGGGCAGAGGTATAAAAAGCGACGGTATTCATTTTGGCTTCTTCAAACACATTTCTCTCCATCCATCACCAAAGCCTCGCGTCAATTAGAAATTACAGCCCCACCGAGTTCAAAGTCTTTCTGTCACAACCTTGATTAAGTCTGCTTAACCTCACATTTCCAACCGCCTGCTTAACATTCTGCAGCTGTTTTATTCGGCTTTGGTCATTACTGCACAAACTTCAAAGAGCTCCTCTCTCTCTTTTTTTTTTTTTCTCCCCCCCCTCGTCATTTTGAAAACGCATGTCAATCACACGCATCTCTCAGGGACATCAAATGGATTCAGTCCAACATGTGATCCTCTCTTGGTGCAGTTCACGTCTGGTCAACTTAGCAACAACATGTGGGCACGGCTGTCAAAATGAAACTCAAATTCTGGTATCGGAAATGTGGGATTTTTTTTGAAGAAAAACTGTTTTGTTGTTGAATGCAAATAAATGTCTGTGTGTTATTAAACATTCACCTGATAAACACAGATGAGTTGTTTAAATTCATCTTTTGGAATTAATTATTATCAATAAATGGAAACTTAGAAGTTACTAAACTTGATGTTGAAATCAGTTGGTATCAAAAATATTCATGAAGTGGTGATTCAGAGGGCAAATTTTAGATAAGACAAGAGGTCTTTACATCTTTTAACGCCTTATTTCCCCCTCATACAGATGTTTTAGTTAGATATTTGTGTATACTGTGTTAGTTTTATGATTACAAACTCTTTCTTTTTCTAACAGCTGACCCAGAGGTCAGGTCAGGAGCTTAAAGTGACCATCACACACCGCACCGTTTTCTCCTAACTTTGTTTCTCTGTGATCTCGCTACGCCCCAGCAACCCCCCCCCTCCTTCCTCCCTCCTCCTCTTCCTCCCTTGTTCCCTCCCCCCTTGGGGTATTAATCGCAAAGTATTTATCCCGCTTGAGAACTTTTCTTTCAATTTGTCTTTTTCTTTTGCTCCTCCGCAGGGGCAACAAAAAAAAAAAAAAAAAGTGACTCCCCCTTTTGAGGGCGTCCAGCTGCCGCGGCGCATGCGTGTCTGCGTGCTGAATGATTTACTGATGTTTATCAGGAGTGAATAGATCAAAGGCGGTCGCATGACAGGCGATCAATCAAGCATCAAATCAAGGATGGCAATCCCGGAGCGGAACACAGGCTCAAAAAATGCGCCACTTTTTCTTTCTTTTTTCTCTTTCCACTGGCACCGAACACATCAAACAGCCTGTTCAAATGAGATAAGATGAGCTTTGTTTGCTGAACTTGGATGCTAGTGGAGGATCAGCTTTAAAGCTTGGAAACTGAAGCGCATTCATTCTACTCACAAGAAGGACTGGCTATGGCATTGCTTCGTTAAAGACAGTGTTGCGATTCAAACATACATGCCTGCAGAAATATACTCATCATGCTCCTTTAGGAAAGGAAACATAGGAAGCAATAAGGTGACATAAGCTAAAATACACAAGAGACACTGTAGTCCTTGTTTTTGAGTCGTGCATTAGGCCTTGACGCTGCTGTGTAAACTTGTCTGCACTGACTGAATCATGTTTGTCCTGACTGCTGTTGGAACAAATAGTGTGTGTGTGTGTGTGTGTGTGTGTTTGGAGTGCAGGGGGGGGCTTACCTACTGACCGCCGCGGTGCTTGCTGCTTTCTCCTCGGCATGCTGCTGCAGGACTTTCCGCTTGACTTTTCATGCAGAGATCACAAATAGCGGCCGAGCCAAAGGAGAGGAAACCGGTGCGACGAGGAGAGGAAATCAAAAGGCAGCAAGCAGTTTCCTCACTTCTTTCAGCGGAATGAGAGAAGGAAAGTGTAGATCCCTCGCAAGGGGTGAGGAAGTCTCTCTCTTTTTTTCTTTTTTGTTGTTGTTGTTGCCTTGTGAGTGGATGTTTAATCTCTATCGATCTTTTTTTTTTTTAGAATCGGCATGTCCCGGTAAGAGAAAAACTAGGTCGAAAGAAAAACGGGGGGCTCGTCCGGGAAGTTGTGCCCGATCACAGAAAGTCATCGCAGGCTGGATCACAAGGGGGGAGGGCGGGGGGGTGGGGGGGGGAAAGCTCCGTGCGGATCTCAGTCTATCGTGGGGGGTAAACACACAGATTCCATCAGAATAGGTTCGCAACCCCCTTTTGGCTATTTCATACCTCTATTCACAGCGAAATGAGACAAACCGGAGAAGCTCTTCTTTTCGTTTTCGGTGTCCAAACTGCGCCGTATAGCCTCTCTCTCTCTCCCTCTCTCTCTCTCTCTCCCTCTCTCTCTCTCTCCGCCCGTCCAGGTGCCACAGCTCCGGCGGTCTCCAACCTTTTGCTATACAGTCTTTATGAAGGAAAAAGAGAGAAGAGAGTGACACGTTAGCCCGGATGCTGTGTGTGTGTGTGTGTGTGTGTGTGTGTGTCAATCACCCCACATTTCTCTCTGTAAACACACTCTGAATAAAGAAATACTCACGTTAAGGCTACGCTGACTGCCCGATTGTCAACACGGAACACTTGACGAATTCCTCACAAACTCATCCCAAAACACAGCGAGCAGGCCCGCCCTCTGAGCCAAAAAACAAACAAACTGCACCTTATTGTCTCCCTATCGAAATGAAATGAAATGTTATTTCATGTAAAGAGCGCTAACGGGCTTTTCCGTGGGTTTCCTCCGCAGTGATATGTGCGCACGTTGGTGTGATGCGCAGACAGCTCCCTCTGATAGACAGACACATCCAGCTGCCTCTCCTTTACTCCACCCCTCCACCAGCGTCACCCTGACACTCAAAGCCCACCTGTCAATCTGCGGCTCCTAATTGTTCGCTGGGACGGCTTTCATTCCTGTGTCCCCATGTTTTTTTTGTGTGTGCCGGAAACAGAATAAATTCAGTGAAGGTTAAGTATTGAGGTGAGGGTAAGAAACAAGTCATTTTCATCTGCAGTTTAATTTGCAAAGTACAAAAAATGAAGCAATGAACAAAATCTAAATTATAAAGTCTTATAACACTTTGTTGATCCTGCTTCTGAGGATAATCTCTGCTTCAAGCTTGACTGATTATTGGGATTATACAATGAAACATCACTCACTAACAAGCCATTTAAACACTGGCACTTTAAATGGCATTATCAGAATATTTTTTAAAACACAATTTTTCCGCTTTTTGCTTATTTATCAGTCTCATAAAAGATGTTTCACTTGCTAAGACAGTTTTAAAGTGTGCAGTGTCTGATCAGCCTTTTTTTTACTCTGCTCCAAACTTTTGCTGAAATGTGGATCTTTGCCGTGACCTCTTTAGCGGGACAAAGGAGGCTGCAGATCGATTCGTTACACCTTTTTAGTGAAGGCTTCTGCTGAAGGGGAGGGGCTCTGAATCCACCAGAGGCTCCATTAATAGCCTACACTCCATCCTTAACTATTATCCGGCATAAAGTGTTTATAAAAGGGCTCACAACTGGGCTAATGTTGGCTCCAATCAGACAGCATGATATATCCTTTTTACTGCTGGAGGAGGAAAATGAACAAGAGAGAAGAGAAACGTGTAAAGTTATTTTTTTTATATATATATATCTTGAACAGAAGTGAAGGGCATGAGAGCTGATTCGGTTCAGACTGGATAAGACCAGTTTAGGACCGTGAAACCGGGTCCAATGTCCAGCTACGCTCGGATCATTTACAAGAGACTGGATTACAAACTTTTCTGCAAAAGCCTCGAGACAATCCTGGTTCAACTCAAACTGGTAAGTCTGTCAATTTTAAAAGATCACGAAAAACAAAACGCTCAGCCGGGTGTCTCCTCCTCGTTACGCACTACATTGTGCCTTTTCTTGGCGCTGGGGAGTGTTTGTTGGAGTCCCTGATTGTCTGTAAGAACTGATACACTGCACTGAGAAGGTGTCTGAGGTCGTTGTTATTCGGCAAAAGAAAGACCCAAGTACCGCCCCAACATCTGTCTGTCCCTGTCTGTCAGAGCGGCCTGCGCGCTGATTGATGGAGCCAGCTTACGTCACTAATATTTCCATCCCTGAGGACAGACAGGCAGACAGGAGGAGCTGCATCTCTTAACTTGTTGTTCCTAGTCTTAGAGAGGCTAATGATATTTAATATCTTCAAAAATCTATTTGTATTAAGAATCTCCTTGTTGAGTGCTGGCTATAAATACTATTGTTTTAAAATCAGGGTTTTTGTGATATAATTCTGGTGTAACTTTACAGTGTAGATGTGTTCAGCTCATAGTTTTTAACCAAAAAGAAAACAGACTGAAGCTAGAGTAATGGATGTAAAATGCTTTAGAAGCCTTTTGTTACAGAAGTTATTTTAAAAGTCTCAGTGAAAATGTAAAACACTGCTTATACAGAGCAGAGTAACCTAAAATAATATGATCATTTATTTAAAATAAAATACTTTTTTTTTTTTTTTTTGCTTTCGAACTGTTTTCAAGCTGCAGAGCTCAGGGAAACAGTAGAGGTCGATGACTTAAAAAACTAAGAGTGAAATAAACCTGCGATCTGTCACAAACATACAGTTTCAACTAGACAACAGGGAAATATGAATTATCTACATGTTTCTGGTCTTGTTTAGATGGTAAGAAATTTGCTTTTAGCTCCAAAGATTGTAGGTTTGTAGGGGTCACACACACACACGAACACACTGAGCAGACTGAGGACAGAAAAAGAAGCTTGTGCAGGGTCTGAATCTGAACCAGCAGGGGGGGACATGAGGCTCGAGAGGCAGGGGTTGTGACGGTCTCTGTTTGGAAGGATTTCTACACAATGAGTGCATGCTCTAATTTCACTCTTTAAATGACAAAACTAATTGATTTTACAAACAACTCTTTGTATTTGTAGTAAAAGTATTTCTCTTGCGTCAATAGGTTTCTTATGTTTATTTATTTTCTTCTTTGTCCTCAGCTATTTAGGTATCGTATACACACGCTATATGAGAGTCATTAGATGTATATTTGTGACTCCAGACACACACACACACACACACACACGCACACACACACACACACACACACACACACGCACACACACCGTCACAGCCACAGTTCTGGTTTAAATAAAGAATTAGTATAACATTGTACTGAATCTTTGAAACTCTACAGCCGTGACAGGGAATACTATCTTAAGGACAAATCTGATTTATGACCTAATCTATAAATACACTGTGCTCCATTTACATTGACTTCTATCTGTGTGATTTCTGAGCAGTTATTCATGTGCGATGAGGACATTATGATCCAAATTGCTTTGTACAGTAGTCCCAGTCCCCGTGATGCAACCACCCGTGTCCGTGTTCATGTACGACAAAAGCCGAACACACAAACAGTTGTTTCCCCACCCCCCCACCCAGCCCCCCAACATGTACACATGAAGCCCCTCTCCCACATACTGAGGCAGTGTGACAGCATGATGACATGTCAGCCTGTTTCCTTCTCTTCTGGGTGACGGTCCTCCCTCAGACGTCATCCATGTAGTCCTCGAGTACATTTACATACATTATTCTCCTTTTCTTTGTCTCTTGTCTGTTTTTTTTTTCTTCCTCCAGGTCTGGCCTTGTTATCTGAAGAGAAGCTGTTCTTAAGATACACGCTGGTGATAATGTGAGCGGAGTCCTGCAGGGAGTCAAGGCAAGTGAGGGGACTCTGAAAGAACTTCTTCAACCCTTGAACCAAATTATTACAAAAAAATGTGTGACTTTGAGAATCCTGTAAGTTAAAAGAAAACCATCGTGCGGTTCTCTAAGGAGTAAAACTAAATATTGTGGAAGAGTTGGCATCAATTTAAATTCAAATGTAGCGTACCAATGAGGTGAAATAAAGCTCTATGTTTAATAGAGAGAAAGAAACATAATTGGTATTAAGTACATGTGAAATATAAACATGAACCCTCAGAATGCCAACTCTGACTGAGCTCTATTCTCATTTGGATGTATTTTATTTATCATCAAACAAATACAGAATATTTTGTAGAAAAAAAAAAAAATCACAACAATCAAAGTTATCCCTTAAATTTTGTGTGTTCTCATTTTGTTCCAATCCAGACACAAGTTGTAGTGTGTTCCCAGCCAGTCAAACACAAAGTGTGTGTTTTTTAAATGCTGGAGCCACTGTCACTATTGTTATTTATTTGATTATTGTTTTAGTAACTTCTTTTCTTGTTTCTTCCTCTTTGTCTTTATTCTTCTTCATCACTTTTCCTTTTTTTTGTAATTCATTTCCTGCCCTTCCTCCTCCTAAATGATTTCCTTATGGACCTTTATTGTGAAAGAATTTCTTCTAAAATACAATAAAATAATTTATTCGCTGGGGCCAAACATGATAACATGGCTTCCTGTCCTTGTTTGACACACAAGCTGAAAAACACGTTCCTCTGGCAGTGTCTGCAGTAAAGAGGAGCTTATCTTTTTATTGTGAAAGTCCAATGATTACTATAGAGTGTTTTATGCATTCATTTGGTATCACTCGTCAACACGTTTTCTTTAGTTAAATCAAAGCATTTCAGTCATTTTCGAGGGTTTCTTTGGAATATTCTTGGTTAAAAGCAAAGTGGATCAACTAAAGTCATGATGACACAAACCAAAGATTTTAATGCCTACCTCTTAACATTCATGAATTATTAACGCCGTATTGCAGATTTTGGCCTGTGGCTAACCACACCAACTATTTTGCTGCCGTAAACCTCTGATGTCAAAAGGTACGAGCTCCACTGGCAGGAGAGCACCACAAATTTTCTGTAAGTGGTCTGTGGTGCTTAACGTCTCGTGTTTTTGACAGACCGCTTTTAAAAAATATATATATTTAAATGTTAGCTTTGTCTAAACTTATGCTGAAATAAAATGTTTCCTTCAGAGTCATTTAAAAGAAGTTCGATGTGTATGATTATGATAATACCTCTCCTCATAATCTGCAGCCATCTTCAATCAATGCTGGGTCCTATCAGATTCCACACACTCATTGACAGGCGGAATATAAGAATATATCATAAAGAATTAATAAAGAAGAGGCTCTAACTTTGACATGAGCTATAT